CATCTTCGATGGCCGTCTGCAAACTTTTAAGACCCCAGACACCACTCACCAAAGTAGGATGCAGAACATTTTCTTAATAAGCTTTGTTATGCCAGTTGACCTAGATGTCCCCGGAAAACATGGTCCCCAGACCCCTACCCCTGCTACTCTGTCCCTCGAAGTGTTTGATTGTATTCAGGAGACTTCTTAGCTTTGGTTTAATCCAGTTGTGCTGACTTCCCCTGTAGTGTGTGCGCTGTCCTTGGCTTTATCTAATTCTTATCTAGTATCTAATTAGTAAATAACCCTCCCCCTCCCTCCCCACCCTCGTAACCATCAAAGAATGTTTTCGTCTGCGTTTAGACCTTGAGTTCTTATAATAGTGGTCTTACACAGTATTTGTCCTTCTGTGACTGACTAAATTCACTCAGCATAATGACCTCCAGCTACCTCCATGTTGTATTTCATCGTTGTTCTTTATTGTTGGGTAGTATTCCATGTGTGGATATATCATAATTTGTTTATCCATTCGTCTGTTGATGGGCACAGTTTTTGGGTTTTTGAAGCCATATAGGAAAAAGATAACCTGGTGAGATTTCTAGCAGGGTTTTTGAAGTCTTATGTTTCCAAAGCCTCATTTCCTACGTATGCTCAGTAGACAAGGATATAATTTTCCCTTTGTATTTGATTCACCTAAAGGAAGATATAAGACTTTATGATAGAACTGAAGAGTAATGAAATGTCATTTTAAGTTTAGAAACTAAAATGGAAGGAAGTGATCTTTTGCCTGGAAAGTTAAATGACAGCACTAGCTTTGAGCTCCAGTGAAGCACTACGCAGTAGATACTTGGTTCCTAAATAGGATTTTATATACACTTTAAAACTTTTTCTAGACTTTCTGCTCCATTTGATTCATTCAATCCAAATAGCTTTGGCTGTATTTGGAAATTCACATCCTAGGTCTTTGGCTGCTTTTAATTAGCGCTATTGTCTACTGAATGGGAATGGGGTTTTGTTTTTTGTTTTTCATTAGGAAACGTAGAAAATAACAAATACCACCATAGCTTGTGTTACTATTAGATAATTTCAGTTATCTGGAAATGTTACTTATGAAAGCACTTACTTTGGTAATGTCAGATGAATGAGGTATTAACTATAAACTATTCTATTGACTGAAAAGGCTTATTCTGGATTTTTCAGTATCTTGTATTTTAATTCTGTGTGAAAAACCTAATTATATAGGTGACTCATTTTGTCTTTCTCTATTTATAAACTTAGAAATTCTTGAGGTTTCAATTTAGAGTGAATTAAGACCAACAGGAGAAAATACTCTTGACACTGGTAGAAGTCAATGGTGTTAATATTTAGGTTAATACTTCAGGAGTCAGCTCTATCCAGATGTGACATTCTTTAATATTTCACCAAAGATTTCTCCTGGCTCCTGCTATATTAGATGTTTATGGAGCCAAATCAAAACTAGATTTAAGTAGTAGTTTATACCATTGTACATCAATGTAGCCTTGAGAGCAAGTATTTTCTCCTTTCCAACAGTCTGGTTGACCTCCACTGGAGCCAGGCTTCAGGAAAAATAGGGATGGAAGCATAGATCCCTTGACTTGTGGACATTCTGGGAGAGAATGGTCCAGGGCCGAGTTGGCTGCATGGGTCTCGATCAGTAAGGCTGCACTATATGAGGGTATGCCAGAGTTGAGGAGGAAGTAAACTCTTCAGCAGCTGTAATACTGCTGAAGCCTCTGGGCACCAGAGAACCATTCTTCTCTCTGACGGGTTCAGTTATCAAGGCTGTCAAACTGGAAAAGTGGAGAATGAGCTGTGGTTAATACCCCTCAGATCCTAAGATTCACAGGATGGTATGAGAGGAGCAGGTTAAAGAAGAGGACAAGTCTTCCATCAAAACTGCTAGTATATGATTTGACTGCCCTCTTGCAGGATTAAGTGAAAGTTATACATATAGTACCTAGTACTGGGCTGGGCACATAATAGGTGCCCAGTCAGTGTCAGGTTTATGCCTCCCAAATTAGAATGGGATATCACTGGGCTGACTTGGAAACGAAAGTGCAGCTCACAAATCTTTTACCGATGTCTCCATGGGTTGAAAGGCCGATTCAGTTGGTGTTTTCATTCGTGTCCCTAAGGGACACAGAGAGTCCCATGTATTAATTACCAGTTTAGATTTTCTTTGGGTTTCAGTGACTTCTCCTGAGACAGCTTCAGGGGATGATGTGATGATGATCTCATGGTGTTTTTCCACTGCCAGTGCCTTTAACTCCCTAAAGGATTTCCAGCGTCTGTGTCTGACTTAGGTAAATAAAGCCACTCTAATTGGTAACAGCCAGAAGTTTTTGGGTATTTTTTGTGTGTGTTAATCCCATTTAAAATTTTCTTTCATTATATACACTTTGTGTGACAAAATAATGCTTATTATAGAGTTAAACAATAAAAAAATGAATACTCTGCACCTTGCCAGTGATTAAAACCTGTTGTGTATGCTTTTACCCCTTTCACTATGCCCACACAAATATATATAAACTTTATATACATATATTTCTGTTTTACTAAGTGGGGTCACATTATATATGTTACTCTTTATTTACTCAACAGTATCTAATAGACATCACTCCAGGTCAGTAGCTATAGACTAAAAACTAACTATGTAGTTTTAATAGCATACTGTTCTATAGTATGCATGTACCATTGGGTATGATTGGTAGACACTTGTTTCCTTTTTCTTCCCCCTGCTAACAATACCGTGATGCTTTTGTACAAATATCCTCTTGTATTGGTGCTTTTATTTTGTGTTCTGTGGAATAGTCTTGAAAGTAGAATTGTTGGGTTTAAAGATCTGTATTTTTAATAAATACTGCCACACTTTATACAATAAGGTAGCAATTCACATTCCCATCAGCGACATGAGTGTGCATATTATGTGTCCTCTCCCCCAGCCCCATGACTTCAACTTTTTGTCTGGCTGACCACAGGCCATTTTAGCTTTGAAATCAGAGAACTTTACTAGGGTATGTCTCATTTTGATCCCTCTTTGTCATTGTTTCGCCTGGGACACTGTACAGTTTCATTTTATAAATTTGTCTTTCATTTCTTCAAAGTTGTATTATATCTTTAAATATTTGTTCTATTCCATTTCTTTTGTTCTTTTCCTCTCAGGAACCTCAATTATGTATATGTTGGATTACCTTTGTCTGGCTTCCGCATCTGACATTTCCCTTTCTTTGCTCACTTTTCTCTATCTTGCCCCCCAAATTCCATACCATGTTTTCAGCTTCTTTGTTGTGTCCAACATGGCCTTTATTTCTATGATGTTTTTGTCTTCTCCTGTCTTGAGGTCTATTAGCTCACATTTCATCTCCTTCAAGTCTTGCCATATATTCCTTGAGTTCTTGTATTTTGCTTTGAGGGTGAGGGAAGCAGTGGTATGTAGGACTCCAGCCTAAGCTTAATCTCACAAATAGTGCTAATAGATGTCCATGTATGTAATTTTAAACTTTCTCATAGCCACATTGAAAAATGTAAAAAAGGTGAAATTGATTTTAATAATATATTTAACTGTTGTATCCAAAATATTATCATTTCAGCATGTAAGCAATATTTAAAAAGTAGTGAAATATTTAGTACTTTTTCCATACTAAATCTTTGCAATCTGTGTGTATTTATAGCACACCTCAATAGCCATATGTGGCTAACAGCTACAGTATTGGCCAGAAGTTTTAGAAGAGAACTAAAGGCTTGGAATTCTGTTGACTTTGTTCAAACCCTTATTTCCTCAGCAGCGCCCTTAATCGCCCAAGGCCTCTCTGGAGAATCCCGAGGCTCTGAAGCAATTTGAAAGCTACTGTGATAATAAAACCACATCACGGTTGGGATGAGTTTCATGTAGAAATGACCAGGAGCTGTAAGCTGTGACTGCAGGATTCCTTCCAAACTCTAATATCAAGGGGACTGGATGGACCCTGTGGCAGACAGCTAGAATAGGATTGCAAAATGCTGGAAACCTTACCAACTGAATTATAAGGATTGTCTGAAGAAAGCCTATGTCAGCAGAAGTAGGTGGTCTTCTTGGAGCCTAGAAAAAGCTCCTGTGTTGTTCCAGGAGAGGGACCACGGCCAGCTAGTAAGATGTAACAGTCCATCCCCACAGCAGACAGGAGCTCCAGGTGGTCATAGTTCCCTGGCCTCTAATTTCCAACCCAATCTCTCCAAGCAGCCTTCAAATGATGCCTGGCTTCTTGAAGACATTCCCCAAAGAGATAGAACGTACTGACTAGAGGATCCCACTATGCAGTCTATTTGGCAGCTTTGTGCTTCACTCATATTAATAAATTGGCCTCTGATTTAGAAATCTGTTCCTTGCCAGCTGCCCAGCCCAATTCCATTTTCAAAAACACTGACTAAATGAGATTTCTGAAAGCTGCAGAGTGAAGGGAGGGATTCGGGGATCATGCTGACCCCACCAAGGCACGGATCTCAGGCTCCTGAGTACCCACCTGGGCCCCCAGTTAACAACACACTCTGTGGCCTGAACTGAAGATATGAGAGGACTAAGCCTAAGAAAGGAGTCCCTAGGTGGCGCAGATGGTTAAGTACTTGACTACTAGATAGAAGGTTGGTGGTTTGAACCCACCGAGAGACACCTGGGAAGACAGGCCTGGTGATCTGCTTCTGAGAGGCCAGTCTTGAAAACCTTAAGGCGTGGTTCTACTCTGTTAACACTTGAGGTCACCAGGAGTCAGAATCGACTTGACAGCAATAACAACAAACCTAAGAAATGTCTCTGAAAAGACCAGAAAGGAAGGGTCACTGTGGGAGACTGGTAGTCAGGCACTGTAGAATGGAAGATTTCCGTTCACTTCGAAAAGAATGAAGTCAGTTCCTTTCTCCAAAGTGTGCGTGGCTTTCTGCTGTTGCATTATGGTGCCACCTCTTGGATGTAAACTGAAAAATCCAGCTTCTTAAGTTTTTAGTCTCTAGTCACATGCATTACAAAAAGTGAATTGTTTCAGATAAACACACACAAGCAAAATAAATAAAAAGCTCTGGCCATGGTGAGTTATAAAGTTTATATTCTGCATTACAGTTAAGGAACTACATGACCTAACTCCTGGACTTTGTAGAGGAGGATGCTAGTAGCCCACAGGCCAGAAAAGAACTGCCTCTTAAAGTTTGTGCTTTTAGCTGTTTGGAACTTTAAATACTGGTAAGGTGCCATCTTACCAGTTCTCTCTCCACCCCTAAGCTGAGATGGCCCACAGGAATCAGGAGTCCAAATTCTCTGCTCCTGCCTCTAGGGGTAGGATGAGTCGATTATTACTTCCCAGGTTACGTAAATATACAGTATAGGCAAAGCACCAAGCAGTGTCTGGTAAGCAGTAGGCGCTCAAGTTACTAAATAATTTTTGCAGGAGTAATTATTATTAAGGTGGGGCTGATAGATGACAGATACAGTGCTAGAATGTCACCAGAGTTGGAAAAGTATCTTTCAAACATTCTTGGGTGGTCTCAGAGCCAGGACCCTCAGGACTGCATAGGACAGGAAAGACAATATGATGTCATTTCACAGATTGCTAGCTGGTATTCGTTTAAATTAATGGGAGTGGGCAGGGCTGGAATCATGTTCTTAGAAAAATAAATGTTATGGGGTTAGAGATTTTATCTCCATGACACTAGGTCACTGGGCCTGCCCTGACAGGATTCTTAGGGGAGAGACAGGGCCCAGCTGAAGAAAACTGCATTAACTGAACACAGCAGGTCTTAGGGAAAAGACTGGGCCCAGCTGAAGAAAACTCGTTAACTGAACACAGCAGGTCAGACTGCCCAGGCTTTAGCTGTGATGTTACTAGTGACGAACCGCCCTGTGTGGGACCAGAAGGAGAGACTGCTGAACACTGCCTTGTTTTTAGGAAAAAAGGGAAATTGTGTCCTGGAATACAGCTCCTGGGCCAGTTCCTGCCTCACAATTTTTGACAACAAAGTGTCACAAATCTATCTTCTCTATTAAAAGATAACTACTAGGTTTCTCAAAAAACTATGATTAGACAAAAAAGGTCCCATGTTAAAATATGACTACTTAAAATGAATAGATTATTGTGGATATTTGTTGGTTCCTAACCAGTGTCCGAGGAGCCCTGGTGGCACAGTAGTTAAAGTGCTCAACTGCTAACTGCAAGGTCAGCAATTCAAACCCACCAGCAGCTCTTGTGGGAGAAAGATGTGGCAGTCTGCTTCCGTAAAGATTTATGGTCTTGGAAACCCTATGGGGAAGTTCTACTTTGAGTTGGAATTGACTCAATGGCAATGAGTTTTTTGGTTTTTACCCAGTATCCATTCCTCTCTTCATTAACTTTTCCCAATTTTTATTTATTTTTTATTCTGTACCCACTCCTTTGCTTCTGAGTATGCTGACCTCATCTCCAGCTCTAGGACAGGTCTAAACCAATTAGGGTAATTCTCTTTTCTGCAGTCACTGGTTTAGGAAATTTGGGTTATAGCATGGCATCCCCTAACCACAGGGGCTGGTTTAGAAACTTCATGTGACCTAATCTGGGCTGAGACATAAGGGGAAGCTGACTGGCCACTTTTGGAAAAGAAATACAACAGCTCTCTTGAGTGGCCTTTCCTACTGGAGGGAGTTGGGTATGTATGTGAAGCCTGGAACTGTGCTTTTCTGCCTCCATGAAGGAGGAGGCTTGAAGATGAAGCTGACACTGCTAAAGAGTCAGGAGAAGGAAAGAAAGTGGTCCTTCATGACATCCTGAGCTGCGGGATCACACTAGCCCCTAATACACTTGCCTCTGGACTCTCCAGTTTGTGAGCTAGTAAGTCCCTTTACTGTTTAAACCAGCTGGAGTTGGGTTTCCGTTAGTTGCTTTAAGAAAAGCATCTTAGCAGTGATCTACATAAAAACCACAAGTACAGTGACTTTAGAGCAAACACTAGAACAGTGTTGAAAAAGAGTGGGAAAAGTTCTTAAGACAAGACCAGGTGAAACAGAAGCACATTTGGAGGCAGAATGGCATAGTGGTTTAGAAGACGAGATAGCTGAGCTTTAATCCAAGCTCGCCATTAATGTTCACTGTGATCTTGATAAGCCACCTGACTTCTTGCCCTTGGTTTCTATTAACAAAATAAGAGAGCTGGACTACATGAGTGGTTCCCAGCTCTTTTACCATCAAAAAATTGTATTATAGGTCCTTCTTGTGGATTTTGTGTTTTTAAAGATTTTGTCTATCAATATATTTTCTTATGTACTTATTAGACAAAGCATACAACTGCGAATCAGCTTTTCTGATCACCACAAAGTAGTCAAGTTATTTACCTAATTACATAATTATAACTTGCTGAATGCATTAAAAAAAAATTTGTTAAGAGCTTTTGAAGCCTTAATGTGATTTCTGATAGGCTTTTACAAATACTGAAAATAGCTTTCAGATCCTCTGTCTTCTTTTAAAGATCTTTGGAGATTCCTAAGAGCTGTCAGATTTGATGACTACAGTTAGCATCAATTTTCAAAGCAGAAAAAAAAATCAATGTCGTCTTGAAATTTTAATTAGCATTAAATTACAAGTCTTATTTTTATTTACTTTCTCATAAAATACTCAGTGCAGTTTTAAAAAGATGTAGAAAACATTTGTGCTTTTAGGTAAGCATTTAAAATATAAGACTACAAAGCAGTGTGACGGGTTTTATTCTGTCACTTGTAAACTAGATTAGAAGGCAATCCTCAAAATTCCAGAAACAAGTACAGCAAGAATGGAAATATTATCATTATAACTTACAGTCAGGATAAACTACATTCAATTAGGAATCAAGGGATCTGGTTCTGGTTCCATCTTGCGCAGTGAGATCTTGAAAAGTCTCTCAACCTCTGGATATTAGAAGTCCTGTCACAAAATGAAAGTCCTGGTGGTGCAGTGGTTAAGAGCTTGACTGCTAATCAAAAGATCAGTGGTTCGAATCCACCAGCTGCTCCTTGGAAACCCTATGTAGCAGTTCTGCTCTGTCCTATAAGGTCACTATGAGTTGGAATTGACTCGACAGTAACGAGTTTGGTTTGGTCTTCGGTCACAAAACAAAAGTGGTTAAATCAGGCCATCATGAATATCCTTTCCAGATCCGTTATTTTGTAATGCAGTGAAATCAGACTCTCATGCTCCAAGCTGTTTTGGGTCAGGAATTTAAAAAAACCTGTATTCCATACACAGTACTTCTTGAATTTGTACTTCTTTTTTGAGTCTTCTGAATATTTATTAAAAAAATATTTCCATGTTTTTCTGTGAATTTAAATATGCTTTTCTATTTAACAGCCTCTTTGTCATTATCAATAAAAAAGTTTCTCAAGGATATATTTTTCATTTCTTGCCTCTATTTATTTTCAGCTTGCTTTTGTAATTTCTCCAAGATCTCTTCTGGAGTTGTGGAGGCCAAAATCTTTACTACCTTTTCACGAGACTTACCACCCTGGACCAGAAGGGAAAAAAAGTGTCAGGATAACACACTCAACACATTTTCCATGCTGTTAGTGACAGCAGATCTCAGCTGCAGCCAGTCCAGCTGTGTCCTCATGAGGTCCTTACAGGTGGGCTGGAGCTTTCATGAGGGCTTAGCTATCACTTTCTTCTGGCCACTCTGGTCTAACCAGAGACTCAGATTCCACCTTACTGCACACTTTTTACCACTCTCTAGGGTCCTCACCTTCATACGTCAATTTCTGTAATGAAACTTTTTTGAATAAGTTCAAAATGATTATGGAATCCAGATTTAAAGTATTCTAGTTTCAAACGATTCTTTTGCTTAAATTAAAAAATGAAAATCAGTTTAAATTACCAAAGTAAATGTTGCAGTTTTATATAAACTTTGTATAAAAATAATTCCAAACATAAAACAAATTGCTATTCTCTATACTGTCACACATTTCTGAAAATTTCAAAAGCAACCACAGAGCCAAGTGCTGCGATTCCACTACCACTTAAGACAACTTTTAAAAGGATTTGTTTTGAAACACATCCTTTAAAGAAGGGAAAATCTGGGCAGGGACTTATATAAATGAGTGGAATTTGCAGAGAAAGGAGGGGAGAGCAAGCGCCCTTCGTGCAAAGTCAGTGCCTGAGCACTGGCAGAGAATCAGGAGTGATCTTGCCCCAGGTGGTGGATGGCAGGCAAAGGAGCCTGATCAGATGATTTCAGGTGGAGCCTAATGATCCACGGCTCTGAACGCCAGCTGGAACCCAAAGAGGCGCTATATAGCAGAGCCCTGGAAAGCAAGTAGAACTTTACAAAATGCAAACCTGGCTGGCCCAACTCCTACAGATTGTACTTCAAAAGTCTAGGGTAATGCCCAGGACTCTGTACTTTAGAAATCACTCCCAAGTGATTCTGATGCCCACTCCTAGTGCAAGATCATGGTACTAATGATTTTATATGAACCTTCTGTCTTCCTAATGAGCTCTTCCTAGTGAGCAAGGGCAATGTGAGGGATCAGAAATACTGAAGGACTGGCTCATGGAGGTGACTGTAGGAACCATTTTAGATTTTTTAGTGTGAGAATGACTTAATGGAAGAGGTGAGCAAGATTAATCTGACAGAGATACAGGAATTCAGAAAGAAGAAAATGCTGGAAATGGTGGCAACTAAGGAATACAAGAATAGAGCGTGGACAGTCTGAATAAGAACTGAGGCAGTAGGAATGAAGGAGGCTAACTAGGAAGAATTCAGATTTTAGTGATCAAATAAATATGAGAGGTAAAAACACTTGGTTTTTCAGTTATCTGCAAAAGAAAAAATCTGTTTTATAAATACAATTAGTGTGTGATAATCAACGATGTTTAAAAAGAGAGAGCAGCCTACCTTATCCAGAACCACATCACTCTTCCTGAGTTCTAAGACCTTGGAAAGATAGTGGCAGAGCTCAGCATTAGCCTCGCCTTCTGATGGAGGTGCTGCGATAGCTACATTTACAGCTTCAGCTGTCAGATCTGAAATGAAAAGTGTGGACTTTATCCTTAAGGAGTTTTTTGCTTCATAACGTGAGGATATTTTGCAAAAGAGGTTTTTCTTTTTTGGTTGCCTAGCACATAACAGGTTTTCAATTAATAACTGTTGAATGAGTAAATACATGATTAAACTAATTACACTTAAGAGAACATAACATGATAAATATGCCTCCTCTACTACTGAAGAAATCCAGAAAATCTCAATCTACTTAGGCCAGTGATCATGAAACTAAACTGAACTGTCTCTTCTTTCTCTGGCCACTGTCTCCAGTTCTGGAATAGGATAAATGAAAAATAATCAATTTAGCATACACATTTCTATATATGTCCTTTCTAAAATATCATATTTTTAAGGACAATATACAATTTTTCATAATGCTTGGCATGTTTTAAATACAGCATAATTTACTTTCAGACACTGGATTTACACCTTTACATAAGGATCTACAAGGAGAAGCCTCAAACTGCAGATGTGACTCTCACAGGATAAGCTTTCAGCTAACCAAGATAAAGGGAGGATGGAGGCAACACCTGATCCAAACATGAACCCCACCCCAGTGTCCAGATATACCTGTTACAGCATTTTGTTTGGAGCCAGGTTTGGCATGGATGGCTATGGTGACACAACCTTTAGGATCAACTGCCACAGGACCTAAGGAAGGAAGTGGTCTCTCTGATTCCTTGCTCTGGCTTTTACCCTAAAATGACAACAAGCACACTGTAACCTTACAGGTTACAAAATATTTCCCCACACTTTTAACTTGATCCTTCTACTACTCCCCTAGGCTAAGCAGTCATGTCCAGGGATTTCTGGACAGGTCGCCGTGAGTTGGAATCAATTCGATGGAAACTGGTTTCGTTTTTGGTTTTAGAATGCTTTTCTGTTCTTCAAGCCTCAAAGCAATTCTTCCATGAAGTCTTCCCATCAACACCTCAAAGTGATTTTTCCAGCCTTAGAAGACCTGACTCTGGCTTCCACATCTTAGTTCTGGTTCTTCCTGTCTGCTTTGTACTTCCAATTCTTCAGGGACAGGGACTATTTAATACTCATCTTTGTGTCCCATGCAGCAGGAGCTAATAAATGTCTGTGAACAACTAAGACTAGAAGGGGATGTGTGTGTGTGTTGGGGGTGAGAGAAAGGCAACACCAGTGAGTGATATCTAAATGCCTACTATGTGACACCAGTTGTGCTAGAAACAAGAGTTGTGCCAATTCATTCTGTAAATATTAACAAAGCACTGGGGCAGTCTGTTAAGCAACGAATATGTGAAGGTGAATAAAGACACATAGTTCTTGCCCTAAATGAGCTCAGACTGCAGCAAGGGAGAAAGAACAAACATAATTATAATAATTGTGCTAATTGCATCAAGAATAGATAAACACAGGGCGTTACTGCACACAGAGAAGGCAATCCAGCCTTGGGATACCGGGAAAGCTGCCAGTGAGGCAGAGCTTGAGCTGAGCATTAGAAACCCTGCAGAACTTAGTCAAACAATGATGGTGGAAGGAAAGTAGGAGTGGTGTGTTCTTGACAGAAGGGATGCTACTAGCGAAGCTAAGGTGCCTCCCAGGGAAGCACAGGCTCTATGGTGCTGCTGGAACGTGGAGTGCTAGCCTGGAAGTGTAGGAGACGACGCCAGAGAGGTCGGAAGACCCAGCTCTGGAAGAACCTCGTGTGCCGCGGGGCCAAGGCGCTCGGACTTCACCGTACAGGACTGTCTGACGCCAGGAGGCTTGGGCGACCGGGTGGATGGTGGCGCCGCCTAGTGAGGCGGGGAGAAGGCAGCAGGAGCCGTAAGTCTAGGGGTTAAAGGCGGCTGTCCTGGGCCCCGCTGGCGGTGCTGTCCACCCGCCCGCTCCCCGCGCCCCGCCGGCCGGGGCCCCGCGGGGTTCGCTTCTCCCTGACGCTCCTCAACAACCATCCCTGCGACCCACCCTCTAGCTGCCACAGGACTTTTCACTGGCCTTGTTCGTCGCACCAGCCTTCTTAGGCATCTCGGCGCCAAAAGGAAGCCGAGCAGAGGTCAGAACACCGAGTCCTGAACACAGCTGCCTCTGCCCGCGGCGAAGCCGCAACATCCGGGCCTAGGGAGGTGCAAAGGAGGGCACCCCGGCGCCGGAAGAGTCCCCTGGGCCTGCACACGCAGAGGGCGGGAGTGGCCCCACCGCTCCGCGCGTCTGCTCCGCCCTAGAGCGACACCTTCCGGCCGGCGGAGCGAGTCTCGTCGTCCTTCCAGAATCTGTGCGGAAGGCCCCTCTTGTACTGGACAGTGGCCAAGGAAGACAGAGAGATGGGGACCTGGAGTCTGATCAGGTCGTTAACCCCTCCTCAGCTAGTGGGGAACTTGTATCACCTCTGGTCTTCTGTTTCCTCATCAGGAGAAAAAAAAAGTATTGTCACTTCACCTGTGCTGTTCCACAGCTTTGAACAGCACAGACGAGTGCACAGGGCCAGGTATCTTCTCTCTCCCGCAGCCAGCCAGCCGGTGCAGACAAAGTCCCACGCTGCTGCTTCCTATGGCCCACAGGTGGATGTAGAGTCTCGTGCTAGCTTAGCCCTTGCATACAATTCATGTACTGATGGACCACCACCTACGTACCTTGTGCCAGACACTGAGGGTCCCACAGTGTAAAAGGTGTGGAAATACGCTGTGACCTGTTATGTGGTGAAAAATGAAGCTGGAGAAGTCAGCAGAGGCAAGATCATGGAGTTATTGAAGGGTTTGGAGCAAGGTCAATTTGTTGTGTTTTAGAAAGATTGCTGCCTCTGTGTGGCCAACAGAAGAAAAACTGGAGGTAGGGAGATCTGCCGCTTAATGGGAGATGGTGGCCGGAACCACAGTGGTGGCAGTGGGGATGGAGAAAGGATCATTCCAAGGATATTCTGGAACTGGGATGGCTGGATGTGGGAATGAGAGTGAAGAGTCAAGGACGATGCCAGGTTGGGGCCCAAGGAAGGTGTTTAGGAGTATGAGGTGATGAGTTCAGTTTTGGACATAATGAGTTTGAGATACCAGTGGGACATCCAAGTAGAAAGACTGAGTTGAGTCAGGACTGAGGTATGTGAGTACTTCATCACGCACCCCAAGGACGGTGTGCCTGACTTGTTGCTCCTGCCGAGGTCTCTGTCTCTGGAAGGGAAGGACAGAGGCACAGTGGGAACAACTGTTGCCCAGTGGGAAGGAACAGGGGCTATAATCCAAACAACAGAGAGCCTATTATAAATATGTTTGTGCCAGCTCCCATTTTATTTCATCTTCCCTCAGTTTTTAGTAAAGTTCTATTAAAACCTCCGTCTTGTCTTAGCTTCACCAGTGTAGAGAAAGGGAAAGGGATTTTTAAAATGTGCAAAGCAAGAGTAAATGAGCTGTGCATGCCTGAGCTGGAGGTGACAGAGCCTGGGATCACTGTGGCACAGTCCCCGCTTGGGAAGGATGCAGTTTGTCTAATTCAGGGACAATTTCCAGGCTTTGAATCTGGTGACCAGAACAAGAAAGAAAAAAGCGGTTTGAAGGAGAAGGGATAGAAAGGGAGGTGGAACAATACGTTTTACACATACTGCGTATGAAGCAGGGAGCAGGGCTTTGAACTGGTTGGAACCCCGGCTGAGACTCTGCATTTCTATTAAGTTCTCAGGCGATGCTAATACTGCTGGCTAGGGACCAAGTCTGAGAACCACTTCTCAAAATTTATTATACATAAGAATCACCTGGGGATCTTGTTAAAATGTAGATTCTGATACAGTGTATCTGAGGTGGAAAGGCAAATTCTCAGCAGTTTGAAACCAAATGAACCCTTCGAAGCCCTGATTCAAAGACCTAGCTCTCTTTAATGTCCTACCAGCTTGTCTATTCCCAGTAAGTTCTTTTCTTAAAAACTATAGGTACCACTTAATGTGGACCTAAAAGAAAGAGTGCTTTGATGATGCAAATAATCAGCCTCACTTTGCTGGGTAGACACTGGAATAATCACACATTCTTAAAATATAAAATATTTCTATTATCCTGTAGATTCAGAGTAGCCAAAGGTATCTTTTTGGATCTTATTGTAAAGTTTGAGAATGGTGACATAAATGTTACTTTTCGACCAGCAAAATAGTATTTTCCCAACTCTATAGCTTGGGCGATAGACCTGGGTTTAAATCCACCTCCCACCACTTATTGACCTTTTTAAATATTCATTTCTTTACCTCACACTGATGTTGTGAGAAACAAATGAGAATGTATGTAAAGTACTTAGTGCAGAGCCTGGTGCATAGTAATCACTCAGGTTAACAACCGTGAGACGGTTGTCACACACAATAACACAGTGAATAACAGAACAGTCTTCATTCTTCCACCTACTGAGATTAGAATGGGGGAAAAAGCCTCAGGTCTTAAAAAGCTGGTCAAGAAATCAATCACAAAAGCATGAATATTGTATGAGAACGCTATTATAAAAACTCAAGAAAAGGTTTACACGCAGAAAAAAAAAATCTTTGATGGCCACTAGGAAGGGGAAGGTTGGGGAGGGGAATTCGTTAACTAAATAGTAGACAAATGTTAACTTTGGTGAAGGGAAAGACAACACACAATATAGGGGAAGTCAGCACAACTTGACCAAAGCAAAGTCATAGAAGCTTCCTAAACACATCCAAACACCTTGAGGAACCAAGTTAATAGGGCTGAGGGTTGGGGACCATGGTCTTGGGAGACATCTAGGTCAATTGGCATAACATAGTTCATAAAGAAAATGTTCTACATCCTACTTTGGGGAGAAGCGTCTGGATCCTTAAAGCTTGCAAGCAGCCATCTAAGATACATCTATTGGTCCCAGCATGTTCGAAGCAAAGGAGAATGACGAAAACCAAAGACACAAGGAAAATATTGGTCCAAAGGGCTAATGCACCACATGAACCACAGCCTCCACCAGCCTGAGCCCAGAACTAGATGGCACCCAGCTACCACCACCAACTGCTCTGACAGGGGTCACAACAGAGAGTCCCAGACAGAGTGGGAAAAAAATGTAGAAAATTCTAATTCACAAAAAAAAAAAAAAAACAGACTTACTGGTCTGAGAGAGACTGGAGGGACCCCCGAGACTATGGCCCCTAGACACCCTACTATCTTAGAAATGAAGCCCACCTTTCAGCCAAAGATTAGACAGGCCTATAAAACAAACGTAGCCCTGGTGGCGCAGTGGTTAAGAACTCAGCTACTAACCAAAAGGTCGGCAGTTTAAATCCACCAGGGGCTCCTTAGAAACCCTATGGGGCAGTTCTGTTCTGTCCTATAGGGTTGCTATGAGTTGGAATTGACAGCAACGCATTTGTTTGGTTATAAAACAATAACACATGTGAGGAATGTGCTTCTCAGTTCAATCAAGTATAGGAGATTAAATGGGCAACACCTGCTCAAAAGCAACGATGAGAAGGCAGGAAGGAACAGGTAACCTGGACGAATGGACATGGGGAACCTGGAGTAGAAAGGGGGAGAGTGCTGACACATTGCAGGGATTACAGCCAATGTCACAAAACAATTTGTGTATAAATTTTTGAATGAGGAACTAATTTGCACTGTAAACTTTCACTTAAAGCACAATTAAAAAAAAAAAAACTGGCCAAGAAATGGACAGCAGCAGTAGTTACTGTGGAGAAATTCCTGTGACTTGCTTCAAGGCAGCAGCAACAAAGGCATTCTTAATTTGTGTTGCATTATTTTCATAAATTAAAATTAAACCTCAATTAACTAGAACCGCTGTTCCAAAGTGGTGTCTTACATTCAGCTTTTAGAAGAAGAGACAAATGACAAGGTAAAAGGATAATATTTATTTTTTTAAAAAAAGAAAAAAAAATATCCAGGGGATGTCCCACTGTTTGTAAACAGTTCCATTTTGTGTTTGCCTTCTATGGCTACATTCAGTTACAATCATTGCTGTTCATTACAACATACCTGAGGCATCTGAAATACCCCAAACATCAAAAAACATAAACTTATCTCTGGTACACCACAGTTATTAAGGCAGAAGAATTTTCCATAATGGTTACTACAGAGTGTTTGCTGGTTAATTTTCAGTTAACCAGAACCACACATTCCATAGATATTCCAGTTTAACCGAGGTTTACGTTCCAGAAGGTCACTGATACCAGAGACAGAAAATTTCCCCTTTTCTTCAGCAACTTCAAGAGATCTTTGCCACCAGCACACCCACTACTTTCTTGAAAATAAATGTAATACTATTTTGGATGAAAAAATTTTAAATCCTAATTACTATTATTTAGAAAAAAAATTTTAAGTTGGTACTTAAAAGAATTTTGATTTTTAACTATCTTCCACAACTATTTGATATATCTTCAACTTAATTACACTTGTTTTTAAAAAGATAATCATTTTCAAGGGGAAAAAAATGAGTGTTATTTCATACAAAATAATTTGCTTTATAAAAAAGCATATAAATGTCATTCTGCCAGATTTACTTCCTACCCCTTCCCGCCACAGCTGTACCAGTGATGTTAATGATGTCATAGGTATTAAACATATTTTACTTCTTAGATAAATTGTGTTGGTGACAGAAAGCATACTTTTCAGCAGGAGTGATTCTGTTGAATATCTTTAAAATTTCACAAAGTAATTGTCAGAAATATGTTGGTATTTTATTCCATTTCTTGCTGTGTAAGATTATTACCACAATGTTGAACTGATGTCTGTTTACCCAATCATCATCATCGTCTCAATCTTGGGGATTTTCAGCAGCATCCCCCACAGAGACAGACACGTATAGTGGTGTAGTTTAGTGATGAAGAATCCAGTCTTAGACTATACTTTTAGAGCCTTTGTTTATATCACATTATTGTGAATTTATACAAATTCCACTTATAGTTTAAAACATGTAACACATTACTCACTATTACAAAATATCCTTTTTTGTAAATGCATTGACATTTTTCTTAGGTATGTATTATTCCTATGTTTAGTACCATTCCAAATACTAATAACTAGGTATTTCTCCACAGTTCCTCAATATTTCAAAATCCCAACTATAAAGTCAATTTTCTTAATTTTCCAAAATTAGCTATTTGTGTTAACAGGAATTCTGTAGGAATACCAACCCATCTC